TTCGGGCCACTTTACTACAGAATATGCTTGATTGTGAAAAGCTGCAGGTGTTTCCGCGGGTAGTAGCGGCCGTGGTTGAGTGGGAGTCAAATGAGATCCCAGATTGTCCACATGGCGAGCTCAGGCATTTGTAAAAGTTGTTTGACGACTACAATAGGCATAAAAACGCTATCCTCTCGGCTACCGGACGGAATATCCGTGTCCCTAATGGTAATTGTCGCAAGCCTACCTGATATTTACACTCGATGCTCTCGGTGTGAGTGCCGAGGGAGTCAACGAGCGAGAGTACTTTGACGAAATACACCGTGTTAATCATACTATAAAGAACGAAAAGGGGCTGGGAGCGCATACAGCGGTCGAGAGCCGAGCGATCGCCGTGACACCAAGCAACTCAAACAAACCAAATGTTAGGCTCCAAGAACTTGACTTACAAGGCTAGTGAAGACGAGCAGCTCTCTAATGGGTGTGATACAAGACACAGCTACATTAAAGCTAGATTTATACTTGTATGGCAAATAATATGGGTGGCTCTGTTAGTAGTCTCATACACGAGAACGACGTGAGCGCATACAGCATCTCCAATCGTAAAGGAGGTCTTGATGAACTATATTCACACTGTTAATACGCCTGTAAAAGCTATAGAGCCCTCCTCCGACGGAGCATCTCAGCCGTTGGCAACGCTAGTTGTTTGTTTCAGCACCCGTCGCCGCTTTTTTTCTGATTCTATATAGTATATAGACCGCTGCTCGGGCTCGCTATTTCTGCAGTCTACTGTTCACCCGCTGCGAGCCCCAGGTGTTGCGTTAGCGCCTCTCTAGGCGAATCGTATCTATTTGCTTAAAGTTTCAAATGTTGTATTGGTACTGAGCGAGTCTCTGGGCAATGGATGGGCCGAGGCGCATGCAGCGCCCCACTAACTCGTTGTGTGTCTACTAGCCTACACACCACTAACTAGCACACAGGCCTGATGGGCTGCTCATGCATGGAATCCATTGAGTTTTCGAGCCGGACGGTGCTCGTGTGCGAAAAAAGCTCGGCGCTTAATATTTGAAAGAACACAAGCTTCCCCCGCTTTTCGAGTTCGCGTGAGCACCAAAATCGAATCCAAACTAGCTATATGCGACCTGAGAGGGGCTAACTGTTGGACCTCCTGTTGCTAAAATTGACGGCCCAAATCGTTGTGGTTCGGAGCGCCTGAACGAGCTCATACATCCAAGGGCATGTAGTGTAGGGGTTATCGCGCCTCATTCGCACGTTCAGGGTTTGGACCCTGAGTCACGTGACTTGAGGAGGTCTCCGGTTCAATTCCGGACTTGTCCACTGCTTTTTCGATGTCTAAAATCACCATACAACCTTACCAAGTTGAAAGAACCATTTATTCCAATTTTCCGAATTTCTTTCAAGGATGAGCATATGAGTCGGCCTAGTTGAGCCTGTATGCAATATGAAGGTGTGCGGGTTACGGCCGCACAAACCAGCTCCAAGCGCCTAGGCGATTGCAAATCATCAATTGCATTCATAACTAGAAAGTGCCCGTGCCGGGCTGGGCACCTTGCCCGCTTTCGGAGTTTAATTGACTTGTCTGCTTTGTCCTTTTTTCCACTCACGCCAGCATTGGAGGTTGTCAACCGACACGAGATACGCAGCCAAGCTAGAAATTTGAGAGACTGAGCATCAAGCTTACCGAGCTTAGGAGAAACTTATACCCGAGTCACAAGTCGTGCAGTTTGGACGTTCGGTGTGGGGCGGCGTATGTAAACAACCCACTACCGCATAAAAGATAACTGAAGCGCACAACGCTTTAGCCTGTGGGCATAGAGCGGCAACGATAGCGCCATTACAGCGCTCGTACATAATATACATGCGAGTTTGCTCTATGTATGCGCCGCGATGATATTGCATGAGCTTTCAATCCGCCTCGGTGACATTAGATCCAGTACTGTAGTATTTCACGCAGACATTTATTCGTCTACCGAATCGACGACCTCTGACATTGGCGTGGGATAAAAGAAGGCATACCCCAGCTATCCCATGTGAGTGCGCACGGTATACAAAAATACCAGGTTGGTAGGGCCTGAATATGTTTGACTGGGGTCATACACACGGTCCATATCCATTTAACAACTTCATTCTTTATTCTCGCTCGAACTTTTCCTGTGATAGCTCGTAGACAGTAATCTGAACCTGGTGTACGTCTTAACATGAGTGTGTACTTCTAGAGACGGATCCCAAAGATGAACTGTGTTGAGGAGCGTGTCATGACCTAGCATGCTTATCCCGATGAGCTGGAAGCGCTGATTACCAAGAACAACCCTGAGACCCGTCATTTTTTGATGCGACAATTCCGGGGGGGGAGAGACCTTGGCGAGCAAGGTGACTTTGCGTTTTTGCGGTCAACTCACCCCCCAAGCAGGCTCCCCTGACTTAAGCGCCCGAGGGCCTAAGGCTACAGACGCGCGTCAACCCTGAGGGATTAGCACCCCAGTACTACACCAAGCATCCAGCAGAGCCGATTT